CATCACCTGTGATCTTCCTGCATTTGGCATCATTGCATGTGTTGTGTGAGTCTGAAGAGGAATTTATAGACTGATATCGGACATGTGGGCTAATATCGGACTTATGGACTTGATCTGTTCTGGGCTGGGATGTTTTCTTAATGTACAATTACCCGTTGATATAAAGTTCTCTCTTATACATATTTGTTTCTCTAGTCTACCTGGACTAACACACGTAGGGACTGGGTCGTAAAAGCTTAAGAGTAGCCAACCAAAGCATGACAATTGGTCTTTATTCACTTGGCAGAACAGAGGAAGATGGTACTGAATGTTCATGGCTACTTGCCACCATGAACCACTGCCTCCTTTGTTATGAGGCAGCATGAGTGGGGTGGTCCCTGGCTACCATTACTGAACACTTTGATCAAAGTTTTCAAAGAAGAATCCTGATCAAAAGGGGTGGAAACACACAACAGAATTTCAGATTCTCATGAACACTGGACTTCCTGGAGTTTGGATGAACCCCTGAAACTAATGTCCCGGGATAATCTGTAAACCAAACCATAGTTTAGCTCGAGTCAGACTGACAACAGCCACTTGCATAATTAGATAGGAAGCGTCGGGACCAGTGGATTTGAGTTAATGAAGGAGGAACTACTCAGAAAAGGAGGGGGTGGTGGTGACCCAACTAGAAAAAATGTAATCAATGCTGAGTGACACATGTAGAAACTGTTGAATTGGTGTATGTTTTGCTGTGTCTATTCTGAATAACAAAAACAAAATTAGTAAAACTATGTATGTGTAAACAAGAAGCCACAGGAGTGAGTCACAGCTATTCTAGAAGTGGAAATGGGGGAATAAAAGGACCAAGTTAAGGTCGCAGAAAGAGGGAGGCAAAATAACAGAAATGAACAACACGTGGCTAAGATTCTGGCTCATTCCAGAATCTCTACATTTCGCCCAGGAGCTGGTGGCACAGCGGTTGCACGTTGGGCTTCAAACCCACAAGGTTGGCAGTTCGATACCACTAGCCATTCTCAGGGGAAAGATGAGGTTTTCTACTTCCAGACTTTCTGCAGCCTCAGAAACCCACAGGGGCGATTCTATACTGTCTTATGGGGCTGCTATGAATCGGAATCAACATGATGGCAACAAGTGAGTTTTTAAATCCATTTCACCCACCAACCCAGGCCTGCCAGAGGAGACAGGTCCCAGGTGTGTGCAAAGCACAGGACCCACACTCAAGCTGCCCATCTCACCCCAGGGGTAGCCTGTGTCACACCTGGTGAGCATCCTTGGTACCACCCATGCAGTACCAGTCCAATCTGCAGAAAGAGTCTGTTTCTCCCCCATGCCTCCTTGAGTCTGGCCTTGGCTGTGTGACTTGTTCTGACCGGTGGGTTATGCCTGTGCACTGGGGCTTGCTTGCATATGAATAAGCCCAGGCTAAGCTCCTGCGGCTGAGGCCACAGACATGTGAGCGAGGCCATCCTGGGCCGTGTTTCCCCAGACAACTCTGCCCAGACCAGCAAACCTTCACAGCCAACAGAATCAGGAGAAATAATGAATCGCCTTTGTTAAGCTGCAAAGGCTGAGACGGCATCTCCTGTAGTCATAAGAACAATGAGGCTCTGATACATGCTACGACACAGATGAGCCTTGGAAATATGTCGAGTAATAGAAGTCAGGGGCAAGGGACAGATATCATAGGATACCATTTATACGAAGTCTCTACAATAGCAAATGTATGCAGGCAGAAAGAGTAGGGCAGGTAGGTGGTACAGAGAGAGTCAAGGGGAACTGATGTTCCATTTGGGCTGATGAGACATTTTTGGAAATGGATAATGATGATGATTATACAACACCATAACTGTAACTAAGGCCACTAAATTATACATCTAAAACATGATAAAAATAGCAATTTTTTAAAGTATACAAACATATATATCCACAATAGTTTTTTTTAAGTGAATTGATATCATATGCAAATAATCCGAAAAATTGAACTCTGGAGAAGAATTAGGCAATGGGATGGAGTCAGGCGTCCTGAGAACCTGTGGTAAGCAGATGACACAACCTTGCCTGCGAAAGAAGACTGAACGCACTGACTGACGAAGATAAAAGACTATAGCTTTCAGGATAGATGATAACTCCACGTAGAGATAAGAAAAACGCGCACAACTGGCCGCCTTGAGGTCAATGGAGAAAAGATCGGCACGGTCAAGGATCTCATTTTGTTTGGATCTGCAATCAATGCCCGCGGGAGACTTCTGTCTCTCGTGCTTGGGTCATGGTATCACGAGAGATGGAACCCCAGTAAAGGACCTCCTGCTCGGTGCAGCAGAGAAGACGAAGGCCCTCAATGACATGGGGTGGCAGTGGCCGCAACGGTGGGCTCACACACAGCAGGAGTGTGGGGCGGGAGGGCTGCACACTCCCGCACCTGGGAGACTGTGAGTAGGAATTGATTGGAGGGTGCCGAACACAACAAACCCTTGTCACATAGAGGATTTGACAATATTCTGCAGCTGTCTTTTTTTCCCTGAGGCTCCCATTCTGGGCTGTCTTTTTAAAATTTTTATTGGGGGCTCGTACAATTCTGATCACAATCGATACATCCATCCATGTGTCAAGCACATATGTACATTTGTTGCCCTCATCATTCTCAAAACATTTGCCTTCTACTTTAGCCCTTAATATCAGCTGCTCATTTTTCCCCTCCCTCTGCACTACCCCCTCCCTCATGAACCCTTCATAATTCACAAATCATTATTGTTTTGTCATCTCTTACACTGTTTGACGTCTCCCCACACCCTCTTCTCTGCTGTCCATCCCCCAGGGAGGAGGCTATACTTAGATTCTTGTAATCGGTTCCCCTTTTCTACCCCACATTCCCTCCACCCTCCAGGCATCACCCCTCTCACCACTGGTCCTGAAGGGGTCATCTGTCCTGCATTCCCTGTATTTCCAGTTCCTATCTGTACCACTGTACATCCTCTGGTCTAGCCAGATTTGTAAGGTAGAATTGGGATCATGATAGTTGGGGGAGGAAGCATTTAAGAACTAGAGGAAAGTTATATGTTTCATCGTTGCTACCCTGCACCCTGATTGGCTCATCTCCTCCCCACAACCCTTCAGTAAGGGGGTGTCCAGTTGCCTACCGATGGGCTTTGAGTCTCCACTCTGCACTCACCCACCTTTACAATGATATGATTTTTTGTTCTTTGATACTTGATACCTGATCCCTTCGACAGCTCATGGTCACACAGGCTGGTGTGCTTCTTCCATGTGGGCTTTGTTGCTTCTGAGCTAGATGGCTGCTTGTTTATCTTCAAGCCTTCTAAGACCCTAGATGCTATCTATATCTTTTGATAACCAGGCTCCATCAGCTTTCTTCACATTTGTTTATGCACACGTTTGTCTTCAGTGATCGTATCAGGAAGGTGGGCACCCACCGATGTGATTTTTAATTCTTCTGAGGCTGTCTTTTCACTTTCTTGATAATATCCCTTTCTATAAAAATTATTCCTTTTAATGAAATGCAATTTATCTGGTGTTGGCTTTTTTTCCCTTTTTCTTGGCTGCTTAAGCTTTTTGGCATCGTATCTGAGAAACCACTGCCTAGTCCAAAGTCACAATTTATATCTGTATTTTCAGCACTTAGTTTTAAGTAGCATAGTTTCGGCACATATGGTTAAGTTTTTATCTATTCTGAGTTCATAATTATCTAGGATGGAGGGAAGAGGCCCAACTTCATTCTTTTGCATTTAGCTACCCAGTTGTCCCAGGGCTGTTTATTAAAGACTTTTATTCCTCATTCTCTTGCTGGTCTTCGGCACTCAGGCCAAACATCAGTTGCCCATAGACACGCGGATTAGTGGACGCTCCAATCTAGTCCACTGATCCTCATCTGTTGGCTTACCTGTCTATTTTCATGCAGGACCACAGAGCCTGGATGACTGTACCGCTGTAAAAAGGTGTGATCTCTTTAGTCTTTCAAATCTCAAATAGCTCCCTCTCCTTGTCTAGGGTTTCATTTCCATGACATACATTTGTTGAAACAAGGGCCACATGCCCGGTAGATTTTCACTCTGGCTGGTAGATTTTCACTCTGGCTGGCAGGTTGTATCTTTGGGTGTCCGCGACCACAGTTCTTTACCTCTGGGTTTCTGGTCAGTAAGCAGCATATTAAGGTTCAGGTCTTGTTGTCCATTCAGTTAACTGGGGAATTCGGCCCTTTTACATTCAGTGTTCTGATGGATCAATCGGGTTTTGTCGATGTCGTTTTGTTATTTTTTTAATGTTTTGACTGGCTTCAGTTTTCGCACGGATTTTTCATGTTGTATTTCTGTTGTCTTGCTTGTCTTCTTTTTCTTCTACAAAACCATTGTATCGGCACTAATACGAATAGCATATCATTCCATCGTTCAATCCCATCAAGCAGTGGTGTGCAACTGCCGCTGTGGTCACTTTGAAAGCGTTCTTTCCCTTCGCGAACTCCTCGACATCAACTCCCGTTCACCCGTACTCCCACCAGACCCCCCAGAAACCCTCACTCGACTTGCTGTCCCTGCAGGTCTTCCTGTCACCCCTGTGCTGTTTTTGTCTCTGTCTTATCGTTTGTCTTGCGCATATAATTTTCATCGTGTTGAAGGGTTGAGTTTTCCTTTGGAGGTTGTGTGGTTTTCTTTCCAATCTCAAGGTGGTTTGTTGTGTTTGCGAACGGTTCGCTGTCTCCCCCATTGAAGTACCTAATGTCTCTCTGCTCCCTCTGCTCTCGTTTAGTCGTTTGTAATTTTCAGCTTTGCAGTGGAATGCTGTAACGATTCCTTGTTTTAAAGCAACTCCTTCAGCAGAGAGTGTTCTCCATAAATCCTTTTCTATTATTCTCAGGTTGCTGGCCGTAGTGGCTATAGATTTTCTGTCCATCGAACTCCTTTGAATATTTTTTGTAAGGGTGGCCATGCTTTTCTGAATTCCTGTATTTCTTCCTTGTCTATCTCGGTATTTTTTTATTTAATTTTTTTATGGAACGCTTCAGAAATGTGCGTGTCTTCCTTGTGCAGGGCCGTGCTAAGCTTCTCTGTATCGTTCCAGGTTTTTTAGTACGTGTGCTGCCGGCGCGAGCACGGTATTTCTCAATGTTTAGACTGACAAGCTCGATTGGGCTTGGGTGCAACCTTCACAGGAGGTGCTCGATATTGACCGGACGTCCCATCAGCACACACAACGTCTGCTTTCCCCAGAGGTGATCTGGTGGCATCTTCCTTCTGACTGAGTCACATCCATCGAAGTTCTCCTTCAACCCTGTACCCCTTGGCCTCACCACCACACGCTGGGGAATCAAAGTCTTGGTCCAATATTTCATCAGTAATTTCCTTTTGCATTTATAGAGAATTTCCCTTTGTGATCAACCTTCTTACCTTTAACTGCAGTCTGTGTAGAAAAAGTAGGGAAAAAGCTCAATCCTTTCCCTCGGTTTACCAGCTTTCAAAATGAACTGCTCCCTAGCGCCTTCCAATGCTAATGAAAGAGGATATTTTACTATCATTTTAACATCACTAATCTTTATACTATTATTAAGTATGACATATTATTTATATCATATGAAGTTGACCAAAAAGAATGAGCCTATATTCCACCATTTCAGGTGGTACCAAAAAAACACAAAACAGATTTTTTTCCCCCCAAAGAAAGATGTATTTAAACTTTTTTACAAGACAACCTTATCATCTTCAAAGTACTCTCCTTTACACTGAATACTTTAGTCAAATCTGCGGTTCCATTCTTGGAAACAGTTTTTAAACTCATCCGTTTGGATGGCTGACAGCACCTCCCTCGTTGTTTTTTCTTCACCTCTTCTACTTTGTTAAATCACTGTCCTTTCATGTCCCTCTTCATTTGTGGAAACAAAAAGAAGTCACAGGGAGCAAGGTGAGTAAGGTGCATGGAACAAGAGAGGCGTGTTGCTTTTTTGCCAAAGACTGGCTCACTGAGATGGCTGCAAGAGCAGGTGCATGGTTGTGGTGGCAAAACCAGTCCCCCTTCTGCCACAAATCAGGCCTATTTTGCCACACGCTGCTATGCTATCTTTTCAGAACCTCTAAATAGAAAGCTCAATTAACAGTCTGACCTGGTGGAACAAACTCCAAATGCACTATCCCCCTCACATCAAAAAAACACGTGAGCCTTGTCTTGACCTTTGATTTCACTCAAAGACCTTTTCTGGGGCGAGCTGAATATGCTGTCTTCTACTGGCTTGATTGATGTTTGCTTTTGGGGTCGTAAGACTAGCACCATGCCTTGTCACCAGTAATGACCTTGGGAAAACTGTCTGGGTCGCTTTGGAGCTGTTCCTTCAAAGGACGGCCTGGTTCCAGTTGGCCCTCTTTTTGCTGGTCAGTCAGAACCCGAGGCACA